AAATGAACTTAAATGTAACTTTAATGTATATAGAGAAGGAAAATACGAAAGAGAAATTAAGAGACATAAAAGATAAAGTGGGAAGATCTAGCTTTTATCTAAATTGCAATTCTATAGAGAGAGAAGAAAAAGGTCTGGGCACAGTAGCTCACTCCTGTAATCCCAGCACTTTGTGAGGCCAAGGCAGGAGGATTGTTAGAAGCCATGAGTTTGAGGCTGCAGCAAGCTAGGATTGTGCCACTACACTCCAGCCTGGGTGACAGAGGAAGACTCTGTCTCAAAAAACAAAAAAAAAAAAAGAGAGAGAGAGAAAATGGGGGGTGCAAAGGAAGGAAGGAGGGAGGGAAAAAGGGAAGGAAGGAAAGAAAGAAGGCAGGCAGACAGGCAGGCAGGCAGCCAGGCAGGCAAGGAAGGAAGCTAATAAAGAAGAGATTGTATTTAAAAGAGTAATACAGGTTAGATACATATCCTCAGATTCAGGAAATCTGAGGAATTTCCACCAGAATAAAAAGAAATTCACATGTAATAAATTCGTGAGTTTATTATGATGAAACTAGAAAAGCAATGACAAAGACAAAATCTTAAAAGGAGCAAAAGAGAAAAGGCAAAGTCCCTGCAAAATAACTGTTAGATTAACATTAATTTATCAATAACAATGAAAGCCAGAAGATGTAGAAATACTATATTTGTACGTGGGTGGTGGCTCACACCTGTAATCCCAGCATTTTGGGAGGCCGAGGCCGGTGGATCACCTGAAGTCAGGAGTTTGAGACCAACCTGGCCAACAAGGTGAAACCCCGTCTCTACTAAAAATACAAAAACTAGCTGGGCGTGGTGTCAGGAGCCTATAATCCCAGCTACTCCGGAGGCTGAGGCAGGAGAATCGCTAGAATCCAGAAGGCAGAGGTTGCAGTGAGCCGAAATTGCGACATTGCACTCTAGCCTGGGCAACAAGAGCAAGACTCCATCTTAAAAAAAAAAAAAAAAAAAAAAAAAGGCCGGGTGCAGCGGCTCACGCCTGTAATCCCAGCACTTTGGGAGGCCGAGGCGGGCAGATCACCTGAGTTCGAGACCAGCCTGAACAACATGGAGAAACCCCATCTCTACTACAAATACAAAATTAGCCGATCATGGCGGCGCATGCCCGTAATCCCAGCTACTCGGGAGGCAGGAGAATCACTTGAACTCGGGAGGCAGAGGTTTCGGTGAACCCAGATCGCGCCATTGCACTCCAGCCTGGGCAACAAGAGCGAAACTCCCATCTCAAAAAAAAAAAAAAAAAAAACCAAAAACAAAAACAAAAAAAACTGTTGGCCAGGCGCGGTGGCTCAAGCCTGTAATCCCAGCACTTTGGGAGGGCGAGGTGGGCGGATCACGAGGTCAGGAGATGGAAACCATCCTGGCTAACACGGTGAAACCCCGTCCCTACTAAAAAAAAAAAACAAAAATTAGCCAGGCATGATGGAGGGCGCCTACAATCTCAGCTACCCGGGAGGCTGAGGCAGGAGAATGGCGTGAACCCGCGAGGCGGAGGTTGCAGTGAGCCTAGACCGCGCCACTGCACTCCAGCCTGGGCGAGAGAGAGAGACTCCGTCTAAAAAATAAAAAAATAAAAATAAAAAAAAAAAAAAAAAGTACTCATAACAGCAAAACCAGGCAATTTCAACATAAATAAGGAAAAATACAAGCCAATCTCCTTTATTATTTATTATTTTTTTATTTTTATTTTATTTATTTGGGCCAATCTCCTTTACGAACATAGTAAAAAGTTCTTAAAAAAAAAAAAAAAAAGCCTATAATCCCAGCACTTTGGGAGGCTGAGACGGGTAGATCACGACGTCAGGAGATCGAGACTATCCTGGCTAACACGGTGAAACCCCGTCTCTACTAAAAAATACAAAAAACTAGCCGGCCGAGGTGGCGGGCGCCTGTAGTCCCAGCTACTGGGGAGGCTGAGGCAGGAGAATGGCGGGAACCCGGGAGGCGGAGCTTGCAGTGAGCTGAGATCCAGCCACTGCACTCTAGCCTGGGCAACAGAGCGAGACTCCGTCTCAAAAAAAAAAAAAAAAAAAAAAAAACCATGAGCATGCTGTTTAGCAATGCATAAAAAAGGTAACACTATTACAAAGCTGGGTTTATTCCAGAAATGTAAGGTTGTTTCAATACTAGAAAATCTATTACGGTTTTCTAGAAAAAGAAATATGAGTTAGAATAGTTACAAAGGAAGAAATAAAACTGTGATTATTCCTGGATGATGTGATTTTCCATGTAGAAAAACCAAGAGAATCTATGGATAACTTATTAGAATTAGATAACTTCATAAAGTTGTTTGATGTAAGATCAATATGAGGCAGGAGAGGTAGTCAAGGAAGTGACCAAGTAATCAAGGCAGCAACAGTGGTGACTGTACAATCAACACAATAAACCTCAGCATATACATTGTAACTGAGCTCATTCAAGCAAAGCTATCCTCAGTAGGGAATTTCCCCTGTAGACAGCATGTGCAGTTTGATTTTACCTGTCCTCAAACTGACCCGTTGCTCATTTTATTAGTAAAAAGCACACCCCTGGATATTGAAGATGCTAATGAGACATGTGACATATGAACAAGCATATACAGCTACTGAGCATCCACACCCAGAGGACCACCCAGAACATGCTTACTAGTAACACCTCTTGCCACCTCATGAATAATCATGTCAGACTTCCATAAAGGGAGTCTCGCTAGTGCCAGTCTTTGCTGTCTCATCCTTATAAGCAGCCTGCCCTGAATTCTCTCCCTCTCTCGGTATGCTGCCTGTTCTGCACCTACCTTTCAAAATATTTTTTCTTTTGCAATAAATACTCTATGCTGCCCTTCTTTTGCTGTGTGTCCCGTGTTTAAATTCTTTTAAACTAAGAACTGAGGTTCCACACAGCCATCAACAGATATACACATTTTAAAATATCATTTATAATAGCATAAAAATGAGAGTGCCTGAATATAAATGCAGTAAAACTTCTGTGCAAGATCTTTGTGGATAAAATTATTTAAAGTTTTGTACAGGTATTAAGATTTAAATAGATATGAGTCAACCTTGTCCACGGTTGGGAAGACTCAATCTCATAAAAATGTCAATCCTCCCAAGTAGATCTATAGATTCAATGCAATCCCCAACAGGGGGTGTGTGTGTGTGTGTGTGTGTGTGTGAAATTCAAACAGCTGATTCTAAAATTTATATATATGAACAAGGATCCCAGAAAAGGAGCAATGGGCTCATACTCCCTAAATTAACTGGATCACCCAGAGCAGGCTCAATATAATACTAGCTGGGAGACAACACCCTATGAGGTTGGGGTGCTGTGCTATAGGATGTGGTATATGGCTTAATCCAGAGGTCACTGTGTGGGGCTGTCTTCCCCATAGGCAAGAAGCACAGGTCTGGGAATCAAGAGGTACAAATGAAAATTTCCCTTCTTACTGGTAACCCTAACGCTCCCTGGAAGGAGTTTTACTTCAAGTCACCACAACCCGCCGTGACACTCGGTAGGTTGGGAGATCCTAGTGCCTAAAGGATGAGTACTTCCACCAGCGAACTGGCAGTAAAGTGGAAAATTAAACTGTGTCGATTATTCTTTTTTTTTTTTTTCTTTTTGAGACAGGGTCTTGCTCTGTCACCCAGGCTGGAGTGCAGTGGCGCCATCATGGCTCACTGCAGCCTTGATCTCCTGGTCTCAATGCAATCCTCCCACCTTACTCTCCTGAGTAACTGGGACCACAGGAACACATCACTCTGCTCAGCTAATTTTTGTATTTTTTCATAGAGATGGGGTTTCACCAAGTTGCTCAGGCTGGTCATGAACTCCTGAGCTCAAGCAATCTGCCCACCTCGGCCTCCCAAAGCATTGGGATTACAGCTGGCCCCTGACTATTCTTGGCTCTCAAGTCATCAGTAAGCCAACAGGCAGAGGTCATTATATTGGACAGTGATTGGTCCTAGAAGCCAGCAAACAAAGGGCATAATCAGAGTAAGTGCTGGAAGTTAGAGGAAGGGTGGCAAGTTAGGGCAGAGGTCACAGAGGGTCAGTCCAATCTTGACTAGGCTTGTCAGTCAAACTGAGGCATTACAGAGCCTCTGGGCAACATGAGGATCCTGAGAGGCTTTAATGGGAAGAGTTATCACACAGGAACTGCTGAAATATTTTCCAGAAATACCATCCTGCTCCTCTGCCAAGCTCAAGTAGAGGACTGGGAATACACTTTATTTGAGATCCTATTGGGAGGGAGGAGCAAAAAAGAAGTCATGCCAGGCAAACTTTGGCCTCCTGGGACACACTGAGAAGTTGAGCCCTGCCCCATTCCTCTAGGCCAAATCAGTTCTTTCCCCCACCTACCTTCATGAAGAAGCTGACAAGCCAGAAGAAGAAGCGGTACGGCTGAGAGAAATGCCTCATAATCCCCATGTACACAACACCAGGCTCCACAGCATTCACAGTCATTCCGAAGAAGGTGAGACACAAGGAGAGTGCAAAGTGAAGAGAGAGGAGGATGACCGATAAAAGGGGTTAAGTGGGGCCGGGCGCAGTGGCTCAAGCCTGTAATCCCAGCACTTTGGGAGGCCGAGACGGGCGGATCACGAGGTCAGGAGATCGAGACCATCCTGGCTAACACGGTGAAACCCCATCTCTACTAAAAATACAAAAAAAAAAAAAAAAAAAAAATTAGCCGGGCATGGTGGTAGGCGTCTGTAGTTCCAGCTACTCAGGAGGCTGAGGCAGGAGAATGGTGTAAACCTGGAAGGCGGAGCTTGCAGTGAGCTGAGATCCGGCCACTGCACTCCAGCCTGGGCAACAGAGTGAGACTCCGTCTCAAAAAAAATAATAAAAATAAAAAATAAAAAAAAGGGGTTAAGTGTAGTTCAGCAGCATGCAAATGAGGGAAGGGTCCTTCCAAGTCTGTTGGGTAGTGTTGACCAGCGACTTGAGGGTGGTGCAGGGGACACTGGTGCTCCATAGCTTACCTTAATGGTATCCAAGCCAGTAAGGAAGAATAGGTATTGGAAGTGTTGGGTGAACTGCAGGAGGAACACGATGGATGATGCTGGTATTGAAAACACCAGCAGGAAAGAAATACTGTGGGAGATGAAAGAATGGGAAAAGGTTGAAATGATGTGAATACAGGATTGAGAGAAATAGAGGGTACACAGATGATAGTTGGAGTGGAATAAAATCCTGGTTTGGGGGCACATTGGGAGTACTTTATGGCCAGGACATGTTGGAAGGAGATGTGAAAGGTTGGGAGGTGGTGCTGGGAGTGGAGTAAGGGGTGTCAGAGGCAGTTACCTGTTCCTGGAAGTCTCTGGGCAAGCTCTCCAGTGAATGAAGTCAATAGCAGTTTGCTGCAGTCATAGTTTTGGTTAAAGGTCGAAGGGCCTCCAGCCTGTCAGATGCCCCTCATCAATGTACCCATGTGCATACTGAACGGAAGACACATTCACCCCTGGGGCTGACTCTGCCAGTTGTAGGGCCCCTGGGTAGAGATGAGAGGGACCATACTCCTTCAATCCAAGTTCTAGAGTAAACTCCCATGCTCACTCCCCAACCTGCTTCTCCAGAAGATAGGAGAGCAGGGCTCTCTAAGAAGGGGCAGTGGGGCCCCTATCCAGAAATCTGGGCTAGGCATAGGAGAGCTTAATGTTAGATGGGACCTCATTTTCATTATTAGGTGCCTTCCTAATGATCTTTTTTTTCTTTCATATTACTGTTTAGAGTTTTGCCTTGCTTTTCTTGTACGTGCTAGTTGAAGCTAACTTAATTGATCCTCATTTATATGTTTTATTTCACTGATGGCTAAGAAGGGGAAGGAGAAGCTGGAAACACTGTGAAAGTTGCTTTCATGTATTTATACATTAATTCCTTCATTTAGCCATCCCACAAATGTTCATTAGGCACCTGGAATATGGCAGACACTAAGCTAGGTGCTAAGGACATAAGGGTGCTAGTTTGGGGGAAAAGAAATATGTGTGCAGAGATACTTGAGAAAATATTTTTAAAGAAACAAAGCTAGGGAAGGCCATCACTGGAAAACTATTGACAAGTTTAATATTAAAAAACAAAAACAAAATTACAGTCTTAAAGTTAAATCTTTAAAAAATGTTTAAAATAGTACATAAGTGTTTTAGTCTGTTCTCACACCACTATTAAGATGCTACCTGAGACTGGGTAATTTATAAACAAAAAAGGTTTAATTGACTCACAACTCTGCATGGCTGAGGAGATCTCAGGAAACTTATAATCATGGCGGAAGACAAAGGGGAAGCAAGGCATGTCTTACATGGTCGCAGGTGAGACAGAGAGCAGGCAGGGGAAAATTGCCATTTTTAAAACCATCAGATCTTGTGAGATCTCTCTCATTATCACAAGAACAGCATGGGGGAAACTGCCCCCATGATCCAATCACTTCCCACCAGGTCCCTCCCTCCACATGTGGGGATTACAGTTCAAGATGAGATTTGGGTGGGGACACAGAGCCAAACCATATCAGTAAGTATACAAAAAAATCTGGATTGGCCGGGTGTGGTGGCTCATGCCTGTAATCCCAGCACTTTGAGAGGCCAAGGCAGGTGGATCACCTGAGGTCAGCCTGCCCAACATGGCGAAACCCCATCTCTAGCAAAAATACAAAAAATTAGCAGGGCGTGGTGTTGGGCGCCTATAATCCCAGCTCATCAGGAGAGTGAGGCAGGAGAATCGCTTGAACCCAGGAGGTGGAGGTTGCAGTGAGACAAAATCGCGTCATTGCACTCCAGCCTGGGAAACAAGAGCAAAACTCTGTCTCAAAAAAAAAAAAAAAAAAGGCTGGATTATATAAAGTATAAAAAATAGTTGTCACATATCAGTTTACAGTATTGTTTTTAAAATGCTAAAACTATTTCAAGGCTTACACTGAAATTAAGAATCACTCAGCAGGAGGCCAGCCTGCTGCATGGGCTGCTTCCAACACCTGCACCTTGTCTCCCCAGGAAAAAAAAAATTAATACAAAATAAAATTTAAAAATTACAAATTATAAATGAAAAACTGAGCAGGTGGTATTTAGCCAAAATTTGCTGGAAAGAAAATTATTCTTAAAGAAGACAATGGACTTTAAATTTGCAGACAGTGACATAGAGACCAAAAGCACTCTCTGCTCAGTTGGAGAGACTGATCCTCACAGAGCAACATCAGTGCAGTCACAGAGATGTGTCCAAGGGGGCTAATGGAGCCCAGTAAATGGGGGTGACTGGGGGAGGTGAAGGTTGTGGAAAGATCCACAGCAGAGGTGATATCTGTGCTGCATCTTGGCAGGTGAACTAAAGTTAGCCAGGCCAACACGATGAGAAAGGATATCCCAGGTAGAAGGAACCATATGTGCAAAAACACAGCAAGAGGGTGAAAAAAAAACCAGACCATGGTCCAAGAGCTGCAGATTGCCTGGCTGGAGACTAGGAGGTGGGTTAAGGAAGGGCAAAAGGCAAGGCTCTCAGCCAGTGGAGGGGTTTTTTTTTTTTTTTTTTTTGAGACAGAGTTTCACTCTTGTTGCCCAAGCTGGAGTGCAATGGCGCAGTCTCAGCTCACTGAAACCTCCACCACTCAGGTTCAAGCAATTCTCCTGCCTCAGCCTCCCGAGTAGCTGGGATTACAGGCATGCACCACCATGCCCGGCTAATTTTGTATTTTTACTAGAGATGGGGTTTCTCCATGTTGGTCAGGCTGGTCTCGAACTCCCGACCTCAGGTGATTAGCCCACCTCAGCCTCTCAAAGTGCTGGGATTACAGGCATGAGCCACCACGCCCGGCCTAGCACAGGGCCTTCTAAGTGGAGAGAAGGGGCTTAGAGTTCATCCTACAAAGGAGAGGGGTACCTTCAAAGGATTTTAAGCAAGAAAGTGTCATGATGAAAAGTGGTTACTAGATGTGGCAGTGGGGATAATAGATTAGAGAAGAGGAGACAGGAAAGAAGTTTAAGAAACTAAGCAAGATGCAGATAGTGTCATGACATGTTACAATTTGTGGAAAGGGACAAAAACAATCATACTTGCAGGTGCATAGAGTTTTGCCTTTGTTCACTTTCCAGTTGGGATTAATTTAGTTGACCACGAAAGGATACGTGAGACCCTGAGTTGCCTCTCGGCGGGGGAACAGGTGGTTGATGTACCAGAAGAGAAGAATAGTTAAAAAAAAAAAAAAAAAAAAACTCTCTATATCCTTTTGTACACTTTCAATTTTGTACTTTGGATATGTATTACCTGACCCCCCCCAAAAAAAATTGCTTTTCTTTTAAAGAGGCTATCACATTGCAAGGGGATGAGTAATTTTTTTAAAAAAAACAAACAAAAATAATAAAGGGGCTATTCTACAATCTAAGAGAAAACATCCGGGAGAATGTGCCTGCCACCCACTCCCCAAACCTTTCCCCGGAGGAGCCAAACTTTCTCAATCAGAAAGGGCCTCTTCAAAGGACTTAGGCCCAAGGCAGTAATGCATCAACTGTATCACCTGTATGGCCTACACCTCTGGCCAACCCTGAGAAAATAAACTGGGTCTTCTTGCTTTCTCTGTTTCTGATGCCTAGTATCCCCCTCAAGAAGCCTTCGTTGCAAAAACTGACTGTACTGGTCTGGCTGGAACTAGGGGATGGGAGGAGATCTGGGATCTCATATCCCCTTGCTTATTATATTTTGGGCTGAATCATTCTTCTACCAGCCTTCTAATACTGGCTTGTGCCAGCTGGGCCTCTCTGATGTGTAACACAAAAAGTGTGTTGGGTCACCACTCAGCAAGCAGTTGGGTGCCAAGAGGCAAGAGGTGGTCCTGGGAGACAGTCACTAGAATGCCAGGGGTACAGGGAAGAGGGGCAGCACAGAAGGTGCCCATCCTTCCTTACCTTGGAGTAGATTTGTGAGCAGAAAGGGCCCAACATAGTTAGTGACAAAGGTAAGATCCAGGCCCTCTGGGGTAAGTGTCTTGGGGAATCCTGGGAGGAAATGAAAACACTGGCATTGAGTGATAAAGGGACCACCTTGAGGGAGACAAGGTCTGGGAGGGACATATTACCTTCAGCAGAAATGCCACAGGGGCATGTACATGCAAAGATGGGGGCAATGAAGTTTAAGGCTATAACTCAATGTTGGCTTTTTAGGGGAGGGTATGGATTAGTGTATTCTGGTAAGATTGCATATGTTAGGCTTTGAGGACACCTGTTTTAGGGTTCCTGAGCTAGAAAGGAGGCTGCAGAAAGGTGTTTGGAGAAGCAAGCCAAGGCACATACCAGCATTGTTTACCAGCAGATGTATCTCAGGATTCTGCTGTAGAAGCCTCCAGGCAAAGCTCCGAATAGAGGTCATGGAGCTAAGGTCCACCTCACCAAGCAGGAGGCCGTTACTGTTTGAGGCTGCTTGAATCTCAGCCAGGGCTTACTGTCCACATTCCCTGCTCTGACAGGTAAGGATCACTTGGGCCCCACACGGAGCTAGGTCCTGGCATATAACCTTCCTGATGCCTGTGGGAGGACAGCTTTGGCTGGGTGGTGACTACAGTGAATAAGGGACACTCTAGGGGAGGAACCAGGGTGTTGATAGTGGATGCCTCTCCCTGCCTTCCCTGTGAGAGTTGTTGTAGGCTGAGGACCACAGTGAGGATTCGGGGTGGCAGGAGCACTCACCACTGTTGGCCCCAGTCACTATGGCTGTTTTCCCAGTCAGATCTGTGGAGCAGCGCTGGAGGTCCCAGGGATGAGACTTCTGCCAGAGCAGCACACATAGTTGAAGCAGGAGGACCAGAATAAGGAAGACAGAACCAGCGCCCCAGACTAGGATGCTGAGTGCAGCCCACAGCAACACAGCAGAAACTTCCTGGGCCTGCTGGGGAAATGCTGTAGGAGGAAGTGGGTGCAGGATAAATCTGGGCAGAGTGGAGACCAGCAACAAGGCAGGTGTGGAGCCTGAGATAAAATTTAAGGAGGCACTGACTCTTGAGTTTGTTCAATATACTGTTTGAATTTGAGAGTTCCTCCTTAACTCCAAAAGTGAAATTTGGATTTGCAGTCTAAGGTGAAGTGACCAAGCTCCAGGGACGGGGGAAGCAAGAAATCAAGTTCTTCATATCTCGAATCACTCTTTGCTTATGCAGGGCCATCTCCTTCCTCCCCTACTGAAAGGAGACTCCAAGTTCTCTCTACAGAGCCAGACCTGCTGGCAGCCCTTATGTGTACTCCTTTGGAGGACGGGGATTTCTCTACAATACCTCTGCGATGGGCCAGTTTTGGCCCTAAAGCAGGGTCTCCTAAGGGTGGCGAGAGGATTATTTCCTGAACCCTGGTTCTATCTTCTTCTAGGCCTGCAGGATAACTGCTCCCCTTGGAGTTCAGTGAGAGGGTGGACACCCTTGGAAGAAACTGACAAGAGACATCAGACTAGTTCCTAAGGCAACTCAGGTGTTTATTTCTGGCAAGCAGAGGGAGGGGCCTGTTACCACTGCCAGAGGCTAAGGGATCAGAGTGAGGCAGCGGGCTTAGAGGAGTGTGACCACACTTTGGGGGTTGAGTTCTTCATTAGCTGTGCTATGGTCACCTGGGGCTTTGGGGCACCTGTCTGGATGGGGTGTTGCTCAACGGGAGGAAAGGTGCTACCTTCTTTGTCCTCTTGTTCAGGCACACCCGAGCTGAACAACATCTGGGTGCTCCGGTTCCACATGCTCACACCAGGGGCCAGCTTCAGGGCTTCTGGCAGCAACAGCGGCTTCCACATCACCTGGGAAGTGGCTTCAAGGACCGGGGGTGTGGTTCGAGGCCATCTGCCAGGATCCTGGCCCTCCCTGTCTGCCAGCTCCAGAACCTGTGGAGGCACACGGGTCCGGCCAGTCCACAGCTCGCCCAGCAGCTCGGCCTCCCCCTCCCAACCGCTGGGCCACCTGGCACTGGGCCACAGCTTGGGGCTAAGGCTGCGGGCCACATCAGGGAGCACCGGGTGTGCGGTGAGGAAGCGGATCCTGGAGTCGGGGAGTGACAGCTTTGACCTGAAGGATGGTGACGATAGGCCTAAATTTAAAGTGGGGAACTGGAGTGCGGGGCCCGAGTCCAA